CATGTGAAAAGCACAGGTTCACTTTAGGGTTTCATTGTTTTACAAGGTATCGCCTTATACAGTATGATAACCATTTAGTAGTTTCCAAAGTAAAAGCTGAATGTATAATATTATTACATACACATTCCTCTACTCTCCTGACCTGTGGAGGTTATGGTTTAAAGTCTTACTTTGCCATACCAATCAAATTTTGGCCATTTCCTGCTGAATCGACCATATTTGATCCATGTGTATCCCTGGCAGCACCACCCAGCTCGACAAGTCATTTTTTCAATTGACTTTTTTTGAAGACGCCAGGTAGAAAATTGTTTGCTGAACAGTGATTACGCGGGAATCCGCTGCAATCACTGTTCAGGTATTCTGACAGTTGCAGGCCCTTGCTGTCAGAATACAATAACTGCCAGGGAAGATCCATTCATCCATCCACGCTCTATAGCCAAGTGATTTCCCCATTCCGTGGGTTGAATGAGAAAAATCTTAAAGTGTACGGCCAGCTTTACACTAATATTGTTCCTGTTACAATCAAACAAGAAAAATTGATAAATGCATCATGCTTGCTTCCGATAAATGTCACCTTGTCAGCCTCTAATCTTGCCTCAAACATTAAAAGAGGTTCAGTTAGGGGGAACAATGAACAATGGAGGTGTTATGTTTCATTATCAGGAATGGAGATTTTTGAAGTGTACCTGTTCTAACGTGTCTTCTATTTTGTATGATTCTGCTGCAGCAAAGGTATCCGTGGTGATCTGTTCAAGATATTTGATTACTTGGATGTCTTGGCATGTCGATGTGCTTAACCTGAAGCATTAGTTGTGGGTGCTATGGTCTTCGCTATAATGATAAAAGGATACGTCCACATTCTAGTTTGTCTATAACACAACTTTCTTTTTCTCTAGGCGAGCGAGGCTGTGCCTTCTGCGGAGGTTTGGGTCATCGTATCACAGATTGTCCCAAACTGGAAGCAATGCAAACCAAACAAGTCAGCACCATTGGAAGAAAAGACTACCTGGCCACAAGTTCTATGGATTTCTAAGGGTGAAAGGCTACGGCTGGATCTTAAACGGTGGATTCCATGTTTATAAGACTGCTAGATGTATCTGTACATTGGACTTTGTCTGTCGTAAAGAACTACTCTATAGCAAAGGATGTATTTATTCATGATGATTACCCAGTAGTGGCGTATTGTCCTCTGGGCTGTAAAAGACTTGCGTTTCTGTGAAACCTTTTTATCTGCTCTCAAAGCAGAGGCAAAATATGTGTGAATCTCCCCAAATGTTACTTCTATTTTTACTTGTATCATTTTCTTATTGTATTTTTATGGTTGGTTAACTTTGATGTCTGGCAAAACTCTCATTAATATGTTTCCTTGATCTGTGTCTTGGTTGCATGAGAAGACCGTGAGAGTATTGGCATCTGTGAGCGTATTGAGTCATTTTGATGGCAGTGTGCCACATCATGGGATATATTACATTTTGTGTCATTCAGCCTGCATTCCAAACCAGTAATAATAAAAATATTACCAAGCACTATTGCTCCAGCTTGTACTGACTAGATCTCCCTGCTACACAGCCAAGCTGAAACATAAGTGAAATGTCCAAGTTTTAAATGCTTGCTCAGCTGTAGAGAAAATCAGTAAACAAAAGTAACAAAATGGAAAAGGCCTTTCAGGGACTTTTCAAGGTTACATGTTAATACAAAAGGGGAGCAGAATGTGGCATCCCCAATCCTCGGTCATATGACCGGAAAGTCACATGATGTAGAGTGCAGCAAATAGTTATCTCCAACATTTTGTTAAAGCAAATAGTCTTGAGGGTCATCTGGATAGCATGAAGGCCTGAGTCAAGGTCTTAAATGTTAATGAAACCCAAGAACAAAACTGTAATATATTGCAGCTTACCAGCCTTTAGGTGTGGTGGCTGCATTCGTTTTCATGCTAAGACTTCTCTTATGTAACCTATTGGTCTCATGTAATGAAGGTAAACAAAGGCAGACATGTTTAAAGTCCTACCAGGGTGAACAGGGACAAGAAGTGTGTTATTCTTAGGATTACCAGGTGAAATTAAAGGAAACAATTTCTGAAATAAGAGGCATTTCATCTAGGGACTGGTAAGCTGCAATACATTACATATTTGTTTTTGGGTTTAGATATGCTATAATGGCAGATCTATACCAGTCACCATGCAACCAAAAGGTATTGCAGCCCTACTTTAAAGTGGACCTGAACTCAGAGCGAAGATTTGCTACGGTATCGGGAACATTTAGGAATGTTAGTTGTCTAAGCAGTACCCTGAAGGGTTTAAGCATTTGCCTTGAATTGCTCCTTAAAAATAGCAGTGTACTTTCTCAGTTGTGAGTGTGCCTAGGCACGCCTGTGCTACAGATACATAGCTGTATATCTGCAGCATGATGTCCAAAGCACTGCTGCCTCTCACTGCTAGCCTTAGGACATGTGGAGTCAGATTTGGTTATATCCTGCTCGCAGTTCTCTTTGCTGGTGGCTCTGACATGAGGAAGCAAAACCCTGCCCCTACCAAGATGGCCGCCTCCACACAGAGACACAGTGCAGAATAAGGCACGGTATGTTAGTTTTCAGGGTAAGAACTTCTGCAGAGAGCCCACAGACAACACTGGTAACCAGTCCTTTGCTCTCTGCCTGCCTTTTTTTTTTGGGGGGGGGCACATCTTCCAGAGTTCAGCTCCTTTTAAACCAGCTGGGAGTTTTGTCACTTCAGCTTATATTTTCCCACCAACCAATATCTGATTCTTGCCAATGCATCACTGTTGCGGTTCTGATTACTTTCTTGTAGGCGGTTTACAATCTCTGTAACTTTCCTGTTTATGGCTTATGACAAGAAGAATGCTTAGCAACCTTCCTGTAAGCAAACTAGGGCATCAAATAAATCCAATAAAAAAAAAATCCTCATCATTTTTGTTGTTATTGACGCATCACAACTTTGCTTAAAATGGAAATCCAGCTCTAGAACTTTTTTCTTTGTAGTTTTGGATAGATTGTAAGGGTTAGAACCTCTAAGTTTTTTACAGCTGGGTCCTCACTGGGATGTTTTTGTGACATTGACATATTCAGGGGCACTAACACAGATTATTGATTAGTAATCTAAGTGACATTGTACTATGTGGTCACATTTATTTTGTAAATCCAGTCCCCTCTCTGCACCCTCCCCTGCCATTCGGGTTTTTTAACTTCCCTTTACACACAGCCCTTTCTGGAGTCTCTTGGCATATCATGCGAGGTCCTCCTGGTCTTCTACCTTTTTTTCCCTGCAGTGGCAGCCACAGGGGGACTTCAATACTACAGTGACATCCAAATACCAGCGCCATGCTTCCCCCATGGGGAGCTCCAGGACAGCTTGGGTTCACAGGAAGTAAGTTGAAGGACACTGGGTGTTCAACCTGGAAGAGGGTCAGCAGAGTGGAGTTTCTGTGGGAAACTGCACTGGAGGTACAGCGAGTATTGCAGTGAGAGCTTCATTTTTTGTTTCAAACTGCCTTAAAGAGAATTAAAAAAAACTAACCCTTGCAGGAGATCTATGAGGTGAGTGATTTCCACTCATCCTCATAGTTAGAGCCGACCTGTGACAAGCTGTCACAGGTTGACTCCATCGATCGGGAAGTGAGCAGAAATATGCAGATTATCCGCTCACTTCCTGATAGTCACCGCTCACTGAAGGGAGACAATCGGTCACTGCTGCCCGCAGCGATTTCCCCTCTCCCTTCTCCGATCCTCCAGCGCTGAGTGGAGGAACGAACCGGGGAGGGAGCGGGCACAGCTGGCTCTTCCTCTAGATAGTCAGAGCCAGCTGTCACTCATGCAGCTGGGTGGATCTCGACAGGGATGTCAGGATCCATCCCGGCTGCGGCATTCTCAGTATATCGCAGGCAATAGCACGCTATATACTGAGCTTAGGGTAATGGGAGGACGGTAGTATATGTCCTCCCGTGACCCTAAAGAGAACTATGGGGAAAAACACTTACCCCATAGTTCTCTTTTAAGTGTTTGTTTTGGTCTAGGGCCCAAATAAAAATAAATAAAATAACTCACCTGATCCTTTTTGTCTTCTTCTCCCCTGGGCTCTGGCAGTCTAAATACCACTGTCACCACGTCTAATGCAGGTCCATTGACTTGCATTAGACGTGAGGATGCCGAGGGACATTCCACAGTTGACTGAGAATCAGTTGAATACATCTTCTTTATTTTACCCAGGACCAAACCAAGCAGTTAACCCTTGCAGTGCGGGGGTAGCTCCACTGCAGGGGTTAGTTTTATAAATGTTTTAATTTTTCTTGTTTCCAGTTTAAAACTGGAGATATGCTTTAAGTGCCTGCATGTGTTTCTGATGTCAGAAATGCTGTCCCCTTTTTATTGGAGGTCTTTTCTTTTATTCATGTGTATGTACATTGGAAACCCTACATCAACACTGCATGAGCTAGTTATTTTGATATGCTCCATAAGGATTATTTACTTCAACTACAAAGGCTTGGGAGTAGGTTGCAATGTTTGTGCAAGTATGGGTGGGGCACATGCTTTATAAGACAGCTGGCAATTGTGGGTTTATTATTTTTATGCTTGATAAACAGTATTTTATTATATAGCTTTTTGTTACTTTTTATTAGCCTTTAGAGAAATACTTTTTAGTTGCTGTAAGACGCTGTCAGTAGGTTACTGAAATATGTGACAATAAAGCGGAAACAGTGTGATCTAAAATGCTGCGTCGCATTGTACATTACAATTCTATCAGTGAACCATTAGAAGGGAGGGGATTGGGAAGGTGCATGGTCAAATGTCTAGAAATGGCCAAACTTGACGGTTGAGACTACCCATGAGTCTTTCCAAAGATGCGCTTAAACATGCGCAAAGTGGTTTAGCTTGGCCCCTTACTGCATCTGTTTTAATGGTATTTAAAAGGATTGCTTTTGGGACTTTGAGTGCTCTTCCAGCCTCTTAACCACTTGATGACCGAGATTTTAAACCCCCTTCCTCACCAGGCCATTTTTCAGTATTCAGCACTGCAGTACCTTGACATTTATTCCGTCATGCAGCGCTGTACTGACATGAACTTTATACCATTTTTGGGGACAGATAGAGCTTTCTTTTGGTGGTATTTAATCACCACTGCGGTTTTAATTTTTCTACTATATAACAAAACAAGTACCCTAAATTTTGGGGAAAAAAACCTGTTTCCCTATGAAATGTTAGGAAACATTTATTATTACCCAATTTTTTGGTAAAATATAAAAGACGGGGTCACGTCGGGTAAATCGACACCAAACATGTAAAACTTTAAAATTGCGTGCCCCCACAAAATTGCAAAAAACTACCACACCCAAAAATGACCATAGGCAAAGCTTTTACCGCTCATCAGTTTAGTGTTATGGGATGGGAGTGTCAACGGAGTGGGGGGCGCGGCAGCAGGGGGAGGGGGGTGCCGCACAATGTAAGGTTATGCAAGCAATCAGCCGGCTCTATAGCTTGTATAAAAAAGCCGGTACCTTCTCGGCGGGATTCTGCTAGCGACCGTCCGCAAAAAAAAAAAAAAACACGAACATCTACGTCCACCCACCAGGAAGGATCCGCTGTCCGCCCATATTTTTACGATGGGCGGACGGCAAGGGGTTACATTCTTTACCCTGACTGGACCATCTTGAGTCCCTGAACATGGACTGCACTCGCCTGTTTGAGAGGCTTCTCTGGCACCTTAAGTAGGGTATACATAGGTAGATTTTTGAACAAACGTTTGTTCAAAAAATCTGGTTGGAACGTTCGTTAATGCCATCAGAGACTTGGCGACTGTCGTTCAAAATTTCACTTCATTTTCATTTAACATTTGATTTTGAAAAGAATGGAGTTTCCTGAACGAAAATCACAATCGCTGTTAGAATTTCTTTTGAGCAAAACATTTTTTCCAGTAGGCACTGTGACGAACTAGGAGCGCAGAGAGAATACACAGAGGCAAATCACACGGAACCCGGCGTGCGGGGTGTTTATTGGGGAATTCAGGCGTACAAAGCAAGGTACAAAGGCCGGGGTTAGGTCCTGGGGGGTTGCAGGCCACGGGGAGGGTCCACCCAGAAGGTAGGCAACGGGCCAAGGAAGGATTAGATCCAGAGTCACAAGGCTAGTAGTCCAGGGGTCAGAGGTGCAGCAAGAGGTAATCCAACAGGTAACAAGGCACCGTGTGAGTACATCCAGTACGGGTAAAACAACAGATCCCAGCAGGCCTCACAGCAGCAGTGGAGCAGAACAGGAAGGGTTAAGTCCTTATCCCTTGAATCCACAGACAGAGACCGGCCTCAGCGCAGCCTCCAGTCAACCATTCAGCGAGGAAGAGAGCATGCAGCCTTCCCACAAACACTTACAAAGGTCCCGGCAGGGGCCGGCCTGAGAGGGGAGGGAAGGGGCAGTGCACAGGCTGTTGCTGAGCAACTAACCCCCTCCCCTCATGTGTCCTTTGTTCTGGAGAGGCTACAATGGAGAGAAGCAGCAGCATGTCCTGGCTTGTCTCGG